GTATTTGAGAGTGATTTTTATGTAAAAATGTATTTTAGAATAGTAATTTGATGGGAAGTGTATATTGAAAAATAAGGAAAAATTTTCGATTTACGTGTAATATTATTTTAATAAAGAATGTGTGATTGAAAAGAAAAAAGATAAAAATACATTTTGAAAAAAAATGAGTACCAAACGGAGGCTAAAGACGAGAGTTGTATTTGTCCAACGTAATAAATCGGTCAAATTTAGTATTAAATTCGTTCAAATCCTTGATTTCGACGGAGAATTACAGAGATTTTCATTGGAATTCGCACTTAACAATTTGGTGAGTCGGTACAAATTCCAATAACCAAATTGCTTGACTAATGCTATCTATTATCAATAAAATAATCATTAGTCTACATGACAATAAAGTCTAACTCATAATAGATAACATTATTCTATCTTGTTTGATAGTATTTTCTAAATGAAAAATGCCTCATTACAGGCCCCTCACATGCTGTGTGAGGGGGGTGGAGGGTGGGGGATTATTTTAAAAAAAGAAATATTATCCTCCTCCTGTAATGTGTGTGGCTTGTACGGACCCTCAACCAGCATTGTTCTTTCTAAATACTTACAAACGGTGGATTTTATAGAGCGCATGAATAATAGGTGAGTAGTGAATTTTACGAAATTTGTTAATAAAAGTATGTTTAACCATCTTAAGATTTAACTATTTTAGAGTATTTTTATTTAACAATAATAGTGTTTAGCACTAATCTAGATGTTTAAATATTTATTTGAATGTCCGCACATGTTGACACGTAAAATAGTGTAAGACCATTTGTGCTAAATAGCGTCATTGATGACTTCAATTTAAAACTCTTGCACTATACTATGAGGTGTTGATCTCTATTTAGAACATGTTTGGTAGAGATTTTAATCCAATTAATATCATTTTTTAATCGTTATTTTATTATTTCAGTCATCATTTTTGAATTATTATCTTACAGGTAGGACCACTTTATCTATAATGGTCAAAAAAATCAATTAACAAAATCCTTACCAAATAAACACTTAATTTAAAAGAAAATTTTCAATTTAATTATCTAATTGCCTCGGTATTTCATGGGCAAATCATCAAATTCGTGTATATTCACTTGAGATGAGGTTCTATAGTTCGATGACTAGAAGAACGAGGAAAGAATGATTACAAGGTGTATGGTTAGGTTACATAATTGTAATTTTTTAACTTTTACGTTGTTCTTCCCAACCTGAATTTTACTCTTTTACAAATTTGTGCTATGTTTGTTCATTATTATTTATTAATAGAACATGACATCAAAAGAGGTGTGATTTAAAAAGTTTTCAAATGGAGAGATGAGATGAAAGGAGTGTCAAACAACGTAAAATACTCCATACATGATTAAATTGAAACCAATTAAATTTTGGTCACCAAAACTCTATGCAAAAATCCGTGCAATCATGTTACACATCCAAACTCAATTACAAATAGGACACTTCTCGATATATAATTGGACAGCTTAAAAAATTAAAACAAAAATACTCAATTATTTTCTGATACATTAATCTATCTCTTCACTTCCTATTTTTAAGCCTGATTAAGTGGCTTTATTCAAATCCGTGTGCAAATTCACACCACAAATTATCAATTACAAGTAATTTCCATATCCACTCCTATATCTAGGGCTTAGCCAGTTCTACTAAAATCTAACCTTTTCCCCGCGGCTATGTTGTTTTAAAAAAATTATTTTTGCAGCAAAAAGTATGCCCTGGCGTTGAAAAAAGTTTGATTCCACTTAATATATTTTTATAACATTAATTTTTGTTAGGTTCATGAGGGGCGATTAGAAGTGAACTTTGTTTGGGATGGAGCACTAGTAATAGCTAAAAATCGTGAAACGTACACAAGTCAATGCAAACATCATGCAATTTTCAGACATAAATAGTTTTTCTTGTCTATACAAGTTCTTTTTTCTTAAAAATAAAAATAAAAATAAAAATAAATTAATTAAAGATGTTCGCAATAAAAGCTTAAAAAAAAAAAAAATTGAGAAATCAATTGGAGGAATGGCCACTAGTGTAGTTGGATATATGACCAGTCATGGATACCCTCTTCTGAATTATTATTTAAGTTCTTACTTCTTACATGCCCTGTCCTGGAACTTGAGGTTTCAGCCTTTTCGGAATTGTAAACTCAGATATTATTCAAGATAACATTTAACCAACATAGTAAATGTCACCAGAGTTTTTGTAATTCTTATATCAGAAAAATAACTTTTAATAAATTTATTTCATGTTAATCAAGATGACGTACATGACATTTGTGTGGATTATTCTATTTGTACAAAATCATATACAGTATGGTTGACAAAATGGTCAAGTAGCGGCCCCCTATTGGAGGGGCAATTATACACCATATTGTACTGCTAGCATCTTCCCATTTGTGTAGTCGTATACCCATAGCAAACTATTCAATATAATAAGTTTCAATTTGTCGATCAGTTTGCGACGAGTATGTATTTAAACAGTTAAGGTTCACAAGTTTTTAGTAAAATAGTGAATCCAATAGTTTTTTGATACATAAGGTCCTCTAGGAAAATTGGATATTTTGTTTCATTAAAAATTATTAACTCGTGAGAGTTTTCATTGCATGACATAAAATGTTAAATATATGAAAACTTTCATCGACAATCAAGTTAGGGAGTATTTGAGAGTGATTTTTATGTAAAAATGTATTTTAGAATAGTAATTTGATGGGAAGTGTATATTGAAAAATAAGGAAAAATTTTCGATTTACGTGTAATATTATTTTAATAAAGAATGTGTGATTGAAAAGAAGAAAGATAAAAATACATTTTGAAAAAAAATGAGTACCAAACGGAGGCTAAAGACGAGAGTTGTATTTGTCCAACGTAATAAATGGGTCAAATTTAGTATTAAATTTGTTCAAATCCTTGATTTCGACTGAGAATTACAGAGATTTTCATTGGAATTCGCACTTAACAATTTGGTGAGTCGGTACAAATTCCAATAACCAAATTGCTTGACTAATGCTATCTATTATCAATAAAATAATCATTAGTCTACATGACAATAAAGTCTAACTCATAATAGATAACATTATTCTATCTTGTTTGATAGTATTTTCTAAATGAAAAATGCCTCATTACAGGCCCCTCACATGCTGTGTGAGGGGGGTGGAGGGTGGGGGATTATTTTAAAAAAAGAAATATTATCCTCCTCCTGTAATGTGTGTGGCTTGTACGGACCCTCAACCAGCATTGTTCTTTCTAAATACTTACAAACGGTGGATTTTATAGAGCGCATGAATAATAGGTGAGTAGTGAATTTTACGAAATTTGTTAATAAAAGTATGTTTAACCATCTTAAGATTTAACTATTTTAGAGTATTTTTATTTAACAATAATAGTGTTTAGCACTAATCTAGATGTTTAAATATTTATTTGAATGTCCGCACATGTTGACACGTAAAATAGTGTAAGACCATTTGTGCTAAATAGCGTCATTGATGACTTCAATTTAAAACTCTTGCACTATACTATGAGGTGTTGATCTCTATTTAGAACATGTTTGGTAGAGATTTTAATCCAATTAATATCATTTTTTAATCGTTATTTTATTATTTCAGTCATCATTTTTGAATTATTATCTTACAGGTAGGACCACTTTATCTATAATGGTCAAAAAAATCAATTAACAAAATCCTTACCAAATAAACACTTAATTTAAAAGAAAATTTTCAATTTAATTATCTAATTGCCTCGGTATTTCATGGGCAAATCATCAAATTCGTGTATATTCACTTGAGATGAGGTTCTATAGTTCGATGACTAGAAGAACGAGGAAAGAATGATTACAAGGTGTATGGTTAGGTTACATAATTGTAATTTTTTAACTTTTACGTTGTTCTTCCCAACCTGAATTTTACTCTTTTACAAATTTGTGCTAAAAAAAAAAAAAGGAGTAAAAAATAAAACAAACCCTTTACTTCAATATATTTACCTTGACGAATTGACGGGTACACAGAAACTTTTTTTTAATAAATCACTCTAGGTAATAAATAAATAGAGACTTGGGAGGAGGACTCAAACCTTCAACTAAAAGATCAAAAATTTAAATTCACTTAATCCAGATACGAAGAGTACGCTAATGTAAAAGCAAATGAACAAAAAAAAAAAAAAAAAAAAGGAGTAAAAAATAAAACAAACCCTTTACTTCAATATATTTACCTTGACGAATTGACGGGTACACAGAAACTTTTTTTTAATAAATCACTCTAGGTAATAAATAAATAGAGACTTGGGAGGAGGACTCAAACCTTCAACTAAAAGATCAAAAATTTAAATTCACTTAATCCAGATACGAAGAGTACGCTAATGTAAAAGCAAATGAAATCAAGTCATGCTACTCGTTATCATAAGTTAAGTACACTGCTTTTTATATTCGTGATTATTTCTATACTCGCTGTTTGAAGAAGATTATATAAATTTATTGTTGTACCGAAATTTTGAAAGTCCATGCATTTCGGCTCATAAAGCATTTCTGGCATATTCCTGTGTCCTAGAATAAATATTCCACCGTTATTACTCAAATTATTTTCAACTATTCACATAGATCTAAATCAAAGTTTTCAATTCAATTTTACAATTTGATTGTTGTTTTTATTGACCCTAATCATAGTAACATCTTCAAAAATTCAAATAAATAAACAAAACATCTGCCTTGAAGAGTGAACTTAATGAATAATGTTGAACAAATAGGGGAAAAAAACTAGGAAAAAAATAGACTGGTATAACATTACATGATTGAGCGTTTTAATGATTTCTTTTTTCCTATTTTTCAATGAAAAACTGTCAAGTGTAATTTGAAAATGCTTTTCTATCATTGACTCTAACTATGTGGCATGACTGTAACTTAATAGTATGGTCCCCAATCCAACCTATTTCTGTTGCTTGTTAATGCAAGAAGACAATCCAGATTACTGCCTACATTTTTCAAAATTTCAGTCCGGCACAGCACACAGAAACACAATGCTATGCAGAGAGGTTCTTCTGCACACGTGGTTTCCTCCCTTCCCTTCACAAGCACAAATGTCACTTGCACTTGTCAAATTTGAATTCCACTACCCAAGACTGTAAATGTTGTGGGGTGTCACCATCTATATATACCACGTCTCATTTTTCCATCAAAAAACTAGCTCCTACTTAGCAGACACACAGATTAAGGTTGGTTAGTTTCCTAGGTTTTGGACATTATAAGGTTGAGTTGTACTACTTACTAATCAGAAGAAAATGTCACTAATTATAAGGGTGTCTTTCATTCTTGCTTTGGTAATCTCACTTGCTTATGGCAATGAAGAGGGATGGATTGATGCTCATGCCACTTTCTATGGAGGTGGTGATGCTTCTGGAACAATGGGTACAACCCTTTATCTTTCTCGTTTTATTATACAATCCCTCTTCGATTCACAGTTTTTAACGACTTGAAATCTTGCAGGTGGGGCTTGTGGCTATGGAAATTTATACAGCCAAGGGTACGGGACTGACACGGCGGCGTTGAGCACAGTACTGTTCAACAATGGGCGGAGTTGTGGGGCTTGTTTTGAGATTAAATGTGTGAATGACCAAAAGTGGTGCCTCCAAGGCTCAATTGTAGTCACTGCCACCAATTTTTGCCCTCCAAATTATGCACTTTCAAATAATGCTGGCGGGTGGTGCAACCCACCTAACCATCATTTTGATCTCTCTCAGCCTGTCTTCCAAAATATTGCTCAATACCAAGCTGGGATTGTTCCTGTTAGCTATAGAAGGTATATACACTTCAAGATATGTTTGCTCAACTAATCCAAGGTTTATTTAGTTATCGAATTTTTCTGTTTCGTTTTGCTCACTCTATTTTACTTTTTCACTTATTCCCTTTTTCTTCGTTCTTCCGGAACCCGTACAGAAGCGGGTGCTTTTTCTACGATGTTTACCTTAGTTACTGGGGGATTTCGGGAAAGACCTATGTGGGGGCATTTTTGGGTGTAGAATGCTCGTTTAACCTCTGTATTCGCCTCTTTCATAGTTACATTAACTGGTTAAACTAATGGATTTCAACTTACCATCGAGATTTGAACTCAACAACTCGAACTTTTTGGCCATTTTGTTAGGTTCATTACTATGTCTATTGAAAGGTTGGAATCAACTTGATTCTTAACAACTACACACTTATATAATTAGCCATCATTTATAAGATTAACGTATTTTCTTATTTCTTTTCATTCTTGTATGACCATGACATCCTTGTTTGTCCTTTGTTTTGATTTTGCTTAGCCACGAAATTTATTTTTTGGGTCTAAAGTATTTGCTATGTCTGCCATAAAATTGAGTTTGAGTAATGTTATTTAGCATAAGTAGTACAATCGGTCTATGTGGCTATAATTATAGCATTATTCATCGAGTTTTGGTTTTGATATTGATTTTGATGAATGTAGGGTACCCTGCAAGAAGATGGGTGGCATCAGGTTCACAATCAACGGTCATTCTTACTTCAACCTAGTCTTGATCACCAATGTTGGAGGCGCAGGCGATGTCCAAGCAGTTTCCGTCAAAGGTTCAAGGACTGGTTGGTTAACCATGTCCCGAAATTGGGGTCAAAATTGGCAAAGCAATGCTGATCTCGACGGTCAATGCCTCTCTTTCAAAGTCACCACCAGCGACGGCCACACGGTGGTCTGCAACAATGCCATCCCGACCGGTTGGTCCTTCGGCCAAACTTTCACGGGTGGACAATTTACTTGAAACTAGTTCGATTGTAGGGTTAAAATGGTCAATTCATCCAATTTATGCTTGTTTCTTAGCATCGTAATTGCATTGTAGAACGTGAAAACGGTTTGTACGTGTCTAGTATTCGTTATGAATGCAATTGAGTCAAAATGGGTAGAGCTTATTTTAGGGGTGGCTCTAGCCATTTTTGGTCACGTGAGGTATGTATGGTTCTGTCTAGAGCTTTTTAAAAGGGCAGAATTGGGTCTTTCTCCAGTACTTCATGGAGGTGTAATATTTTATTTATCGTATTGAAAATCGCAATTTGAATGAATTGACAGTTTTATCTGAAAAAGTTAAGTGTTCATCTGGCAATCAATGAAGGCACACTGCCCTTTGTTACTTAACGTGAACACTTGGACTATTTTGGTATGGTAAATTTTGAGATGAATATAATCCGATTCGATTCATTCTAGTTTGAATAAAATCAAAATAAAACTAAGTATTAATAAAAATTTCACAGATATAAATTAAATAGTTCGATGATTGAACAGAACTAGACAAGATTCGACGAATTTTATAAGTTGAATAATGTGATTTGTATAGACTTGACATGGATGGGCTGTGGCATGTGTGCAGTTTCTAAGATCAAATGCATGTATGTATTGTGATTGAAAAAATTAATCTAACCCTACATTTCTATATCACTTCATGTCTTTGTTCTCTCTCTACAACTATCACATCTGATGTGATCCAAGGAACGAAGGAAAAAGTCCTATGACTCGGTCGCGAGCAAAGAGGGTCAAAGAAGCGATGGAATTATTCGTTCAAACTACAATGGACGAAACATCGAGCATGACAAGCAAAGAAACAAGTTGCGAATTGGGCTTGGGAAAAGAATCACAATGGATCAACTTGATTCGAGTATTGAACGACAGAGCTGGAAAAGAACACTAAGACCGCATAGGTGCATGCAACAAAGCTAGTCGAGAGAAAAATGTCTTCTATGCAACTGCATTACAATGTACTATGCGGCCGCATAGTACATTTTGAAACGCGATTTTTTAAATTTCGCAGTATCTTTTATTTATGCTAAAATTCTATTTTATGGTAACTTTAAGTATATTTAGATCATAATTCCTTTTTAAATAGGATTTTGTGAGTTCCCTATAAATAGGACTCATTATTTACATTGTAAAACATTCATTCATTCAATGAGAGAATTATTTTGTTAGCAATTTTTGCTTTCAATTTCTTGTTCTTTACTGAATTAATTTTATGAAATTATCAAGAATTATTTCTTGACGGATTTGACATATTGTCAACAATTGTGTTGGTTATTTGGTTCATTATTTTTAAGTCTAACTCCAAACTTTGATTTCTTGGCTTTCTTGGATTGATTTAATTTTTTATGGGTTTTAGAGTTACTATTGCTACGTCGGTTCATAGCAGTATCTCTCGACTCTCCAGCTCTATATTCTCTTTCTCTTTATCTACAGTAATCAGCAGCCATCTCTATCTACGATAATTGATTGCCTTCTTCTATTTTCTTAGCCATTATCACCTTCAAAATTACCCTTAATTACACAAATAGATCTAAAACGGTATCTCTTGCCCATGATTTAGGTGTACAGATCTGTGTGTAGCATTAGTGTCATGGTGTATAGGCGATTGTGTAGTTGTGGTGGTGTGGTGAATGTTGTGGTGGTGGTAGTGGAGGTTGTGGTGCATATATTCGTGTGTAGAGATGCAAAGAGAGCTACAGGTGGTGGGGTGGTGGTAGTGGGATTTTAGAGTGGTGGTGGTGTATAGATCTATGTATAATGCAGAGAGGTGCAGATGGTGGTGAATACTGTGGTGATGAGTTGTGGATTTGAGGTAAAAGCGGTGTTTATGTGGTGCTAATTGTGGTGGACGGAATGGGACTGCCTGAAAAGCGATTGTGACCAATTATTTTGGGAATTATGATCGATAAATAATGCGACCTAAAAAATGTGCGGTATGTATAGATCTGAAATTGTATCTCTTGTACATGATTTATCACAATCGAAATTACCCTTATTTATATGAATATATCTAAAACTATATCTCCTGTACATGATTTAGGAGTACAGATTTGCGTATAGCGCTGGTGTCGTGGTGTGTAGGCGATTGTGTAGTGGTAGTGGAGGTTGTGGCGCATATATTCGTGTGTAGAGATACAAGGAGAGCTATAGGTGGTTGGGGTGTGATTTTATAGTGGTAGTGGTGGTTGTGTGGTGGTGTATAGATCTGCGTATAATGCAGAGTTGCAAATGGTGGTGGTGGATACTATGGTGATGAGTTGTGGATTTGAGGTAAAAGCAGTGTTTAGGTGGTACTAGTAGTGGTGGATGGAATGGGGTGGCATGAAGAACGATTGTGACCAATTATTTTGGGAATTATGATCGATAAATAATGCGACCTAAAAAATGTGCAATATGCAACTAAATTTCTTTATGACCGTGATCTTGTTTAATTTCTGAGTAGTACATGACTATAATCATAAATTGTAGATTTTTGTGACTTTGATCTATTTAATTAATTAATAAATCACATAATTGTTACTAGATGGTCACAAAGTCATCATGTGATTTTTGAAACTTTTTCACAAATTTCTTGTTTTTGCAAGTGTGTATTAAAACTTTTGTGTTCAAATATTTTTCCTCTTAAATCAATCCACATGATTTTGTACATCATTTTTGCTTCAAATAATAAATTAATTGAAAGAATTCACTCACTAAAGAGCTGTTAATGGGGCTAAATTATGGATAATGATAACTCGAATTGGGTGTCAAATCTAACCAGGCCCATTGTTAAGGCCCAAACAAGAAAGTGTCTTCTAGTAGGCTATAGTCTTATGTTGTTCCATCATCAAGTCCACAGTGTACTTGTAATGGAATTTGCTCAAATCAAGGGCTACATTCTTCCAAGTAACATGATTTATAACTTTGATTTTCCCACCACTTTTTCCATCAATGCACATATTCTCTCCACATAGGAGAAATAATAAAGCCACTTGTTTATATTTAAAAACAGAGAGAGAAAAGACAGATTGATGTGTCAGAACATGATTTGGTATTTTTGTTTTAAATTTTCAAACTGTCCAATCATGTATCGACACGTGGTCAATCTGAATTTGAGTATAGATGTATAACATGATTGTAGGGAAGATGTCATGCTAGATGAACACCACCATTATTCTTGCTCAAATAGTGTCATATAGGATAAATTAACGTATCATAAACTCTTGTTGTTAGGTTTACAATTTACTTCTTAGAAATATAGATGTTACACTTCTGATTTGAATAGATACGACTTCTCAATACATTTACACCATTTTACAGTTGATGGTTATATTCATATTTTACTTTTTCTTTGTTGTGTTACTTTTTAATTTTATTAAATGATTTCAATCTTCGTTTATTGTCACACCTATGTTTCCATCTTTTATAATTTCATTTTTTATTTAGAATCTTCAATTAATTGTTACATCCAGTCTCTGCTCAAGTACTTTGTCAACATGTCTTGAAAGGAGGGACAAATCGAACTTTTGTTTTTGTTGACTTTTGCTTATTTGAAAATATAATGGGTAAATTAATCTTGTTATGCCTTCATAACAACTTTTCAGACGGAAGCTGTTATTAGGACGGGGCATGGAAATCAATGAAAAGTTGATGATAAAGATAAGCCAAAAAGTTAGAGATATAATTGAGATAATGGACAAAGATTGAAGACTCTTAATGCAGTTAAAAGTGATATAATTAAAAATTTGTGATGGCAATATAATTATACTTTTATAATGTGTCACCTTATGAACCATCGATTACAATGACTGGAATGTGTTTCAATATTGCATGAATATAAGAATTATTTACAATAGAGAGTACTTTTAAGATTGATCAATTATAGCCAAATCTTGATCATTGAACATCTCAATCATAATCATAAATCTAAAATGGTTAAATATCAAAAACTCGTTTAACATAGTAGAACTAAGGGACTTGACCATCATATTTTCGGTTACAATTAGATTTCAATAGTTTTCTTAATACAACATAAACATTAAGTTCGGCTCTGGAATCTTGGTTGAGAAGCATAACTATGAAGTCAATCACCATTAAAAAGTTAACTCGAAGTGGCAAACAAATAATAAGGTCAATAAAAATTTTTTTTGATTTCAACATACGAATTTCTACACAAATCGATGAGAAATTGTTGATTAATAAATATGGGCTTATTTAGATATGTTATTCTCATTGTTGGGACAAGTAATAATGGAGTGATACACGGGATTATTTGACCTCTTTATCAATTGAGTTCTTAAGTAAAAACTAAAATGCCATCAAAATTAAAGGGCTAAGATCCAAATGCTTGGAAAAACTCGTTTTGAGCACACAATTGGGGCTATATGTGCAAAATCTCTTCTTACATATATAAAAGAGCGAAACGTCGCTGGACACGGGTTGCAATTTCACATCGTCTTCTTTTTTTCACCTTCCATTCTTTCATTACTTCACGCAACCATCAGCTCAAACATCTTCTCATCCCACTCCACAATCCCATACCTTCAAAATCTGATGAAATCCTAACCCAAAAGCTTATTTGTACGTATGGCCATATCTCTATCACCCTGATTTATCCCTCTCATTCTCTACCCTAATTGTAAGCTTTCTCCGGATATTCATTAGAATTTTAGCCGCCTCATTTGTCTACTTCAAGGTAATGATTTTACGAAATTGGTGTAATCTTGAACTCATACAACCCATTCTTCTCTTCAATTCTTAAGTCTGGTCATTTTTTTCTGAGTTTATTTGTATCATTTAGCTGCTCATTTGTCTTTAATGGTGATTTTTCTTAAGTTTTAATTTGTTGCAACCCGTGATCAAATTCCTTCACAGTTTTACAACTCAAAACGAGCAATTGAATCTCTCTAATTTGTATATAAGTATGTTTTTACAATTTTTTTTTTGAATTAATCTTCATTTTTGTTAAGTTTTCATTTGATTATAGTGATTATACGAGCATGGTATTAATTTTGTTCGAAGATAACTTCCAGATGATGGTGAATCAGCTGATGGGAATAGTGACAGAGTAATTAGTCGGACACCAGGTCTGTGCTCTTCTTCCACTTCATTTTAAATTTTAAAATCTATTTTTTCTTTTTTTGGTTGTATATTTCATTTTTCATTTGTGTTTTATGTTTTAGGATGATGGAAATTTTCTTTCGACAAATGAAAACCTGTCGGAGAATAAAAACATTTTTTTTAAAAAGCAAAAACATAAAAATAAAAAATTAATAATAATTAAAACATT